GAATAAACTGAGTCATTTGAAAATGCATTGATAGTTCAACAACACACTTTCCATAATATGACGTCAATGGACAAAAAAAACTGATTTAAATATTTTTTCAGTAAAATTATAACTTTCTTATCTATCCAATTTCGGCAGTAGATAGAAAATTATAAAAAATCTAATTTAAATAATTTTATAAGTGAAAATTTGAAATAATTTTGTTAACTAATTTGTTTACTATGTTCCAAAAACGTTTGTAACAATTAAATGCAGTAACTTGAATAGAGAAAATGTTTTGAAATTATGCTAAAATGCGGTTTTTGTGAGATAATTTTTAAAACAAAAAAAAAACTGTTATAAAAAATTCGAATTTTTGGTGAAAATGGAGCAGGTGGCAATTTTCCTATTTCCAATTTTTACTTATTTTATTCAAATAGCAAGTTACACTTATACATACATACGTATGAACCTGTAGGCTTCAATTGTGGCTAAAAGCAAAAGTTAAATAATGTAATAATTTAGTTAAATAATTTCAAAAATTATATACAAGAAATAGAAAAAGTAAATACAAACCCATATGTTTAATACAACTGAAATTCAAACAAATAAACACGCAAAACATGATTTTTTATGTTTTATTAATTTTTTTTTTTAATTTCGTCAAAATGAAATTGACAGTTTCATTTTAAACTTTAAACTTTTCTAAATTAAAGAAAAAAATTTCGTATAATGCTCGTTAAAATAATAAATAGTATTAACATAACAGGCCCGTTGATATACATACATATGTAAAATTTTATTTTTTTATTTGTAAAAAAGATAGCATAATAATATAAATAAGAAATTAAGAATTCAATGCAAAATCGAGTAGAGTACATTAGAGCGCCGAAAAATATTATTCAATACAAATGTACATACTATAAACATATATACATCGTAAACAAAAGTGGAAATGAATGGTATACTTCTGCATAATTACCACCGCTGTGCTTTTAGTTATTCTATGCTTTTGCTTTTGTTTTTTCAACTTGATCATCAACATCAACGTTAAGACGATTATCATACTCAGTACCATGATTACCATTATTAACTTTGTTATCATCATCATTATTTTGAAATAAATATCAGCGCAATTAATATGATAATCATCGTCATTATTAAGAAAATCAGTGTCATTAACATGATTATCATCATCATCGTCATCGTGATTATTATAATTAGTCATTAATATAATAATCATCGTCGTTAACATGGTTATCATCATCATTATTATGATTGATCATTGTCACTAATATGACTATGATGATCACTAATATAATAATCATCGGCATTATTATGATTATCATCGAAATTATTAGGATCAACGTCACTAACGTGATTATCAAGCTGATCATTTCCTACATTTTGATTACGATCATCTGTTAACATCTTAAACATTTGCTTTATTATTATTTCTTATAGTATGAATCAGAATGTAGCCTGATAATTTTAACAGGTTCATCATCAGTTTCAAAGTTTTCTGTATTCTCAAGCGTTTCTTTGATTATTTCACTTTGACTGAAAACATACGAAGACGAAGCACGGTAACTCGCAAGCCAAAATAATAATAAACATACTAATAATAATAATAGTAATAATAAAATTGAGTATACTGCCGCCATTACTGAATTAGAATGTTCATTGGTATTTTATTTAAAAATTGAAAATACAAAATTTGGAACACATTACGCAAGCAAGAAAATGCTCAAACGACATTTCTCGTGTTTCTTTCGTAACTTTTATTCCTTGTCAGCTGTGCAATAGCAACATATGCACAACAACAACAAATACATTTCAAGTGAACGGCGATTGTGCCGGTTATGTTATTTCTCGTTGTCTTGCCTGCATATGTTTGCTACGGCACTGTAACTTTATGTATTTTCATTACGTTGGTATACATATATTTAGAAAAAAATAATCATTAAAGTGTAAACGTGTTTAAAAAATTAAGCGATAAGTACTTAAAACAAAATTAACACTCTTTCATTATATTTATTGTATTTTGCATTATTATTATCATTCTACATTTACTACTGCATTACAAAAACAAACAAAAGTCATACGTACGCATAGAAAATTATGATTTTTCTAAAATATTACAGAAAAATACGCTATAAAGTATGAAAAACGCAAATACATGGCCGAAATTTAACAGCATTAAATAAAAATAAATGATTTATTACAAAACTATTACACAAAAGTAAATTAGGCACAAAACAAAATTGTAAAGAAATATATACCGACTACAGCAATACATTTGTGTATAATTCCTTCGTTTCTTTTTATTACCATATATTTATGCTAACAAATGTTGTGATACGTATTATAACAAAAAAACAAAAAATTAAAACAAAAAAAAAAAATTGAAACAAATTTCAACATTTTTGAGATATTTTTCAAAATTTTGTTTTCAAACAATATAAACATAATTGTTTTAGACTGACAACAATCGTCAATGTATTAAGTCTCTTTTCAACTGCAAAATGTGTAATTAATATGTATGTATATAGTATAGTACTTGTGTCTATGACTTCTGTTAAGTGTATTTGTTTGGCTATTGTTTTTAACTTAGATTTTAAAGAACTTAAGATGTTATTACTATCTCTTTCTTTTTGTACACATCAAAAAGAAAAAAATTCATGCAATTTTTGCATTGCGGAAATTACATAATTTTATTATACAATTAATTTACAATTAAGTAAATCAGTTTTCAATTTGTTAACTAATTTTTTCCTCTTCTTCTTTTCGCTAAGTTTCATATTATATAACGTTTAAATTGTTTTGGTACTCCCTCAACGTCTTGTATTTAAGTTTACACACGAAAACATGTACGCCTCTCACAAAAGAAATATAGTACATAACCACTTTTACTAGCTATATGCAGTTAAGATCTAAACGTTTTACGTAACTTCAACTTTAGGCTTATAAACTAACGCCTTGATTTTTTGACAAGCGACATTTTAACGTTTAACAAAAAAAAAAAAAAAAAAACCTACAAAATTACGAAATAGAACCAAATATATTTTGCTTTTGTGACAAACGACATTTTCCATATGTCCATTGTTTTGTTTTTGTCTTGTTTGAGGTTGCGTCTAAGTGTCCGATTATTATTATTTTACAATTATGCCTTCGTTTTGGATAAACTTAAGATCTGTTATTTTATTTTTAGTTTGTTTGTGTGTATTTCATCAACTCATAAATGGTAGCGTACACTGTGTGTGTTTTCTTGTTTGCTGTGTTGTGAATTAAAAAAAAAACTTTACTCCACTAACTGCCTGTTGTTCTACATACATGTAGAGCTAATTGCTTAATGTTGTTGTAACACTTATCTCAATGTATGTCTCTACATGTATGTTTATACTTGTATGTATGTATGTGGGTTGTTTTGATGGTAGCTGGTATAACTGTGGCTGTTGTGCTTTCTACAAAACTTACTGATCTTGTGGATCTGTGTCGCTTTCTTCCAATTCACTCTTGTTGCGTCGCTTTTCGTAGATGAGAATGATCGCACAGAGGATCAGAACTTCGGCGCAGATACCCAGGAAAGGCCACAAGGCGGCGAGTTTGCCTATGCAGCAAAACAGAAAAGAAAAATTATCATATAATTATATATACATATATAAATAGCATTAAAGGGAAAGGTACACACCCTTAACGCGCACAAATGATGCATCACTAGCATCAGCGTAGCCGGCATACTCATTGGCGTCGTTGTGTCCAATGCATTTATATTCGCCTCTATCATCCAGGCTGATGTTTTCAACAGACAAAATTGCGTTTTTCACTTGATTATCATCGGGTTTCAAATAATAACGACCTGTGCTGTTTGAGATTGTCAAATTACCTGCGCATAAATTTAATAGGAAACATATATACAAATATACAAAAAGAATTTTACTGCTGCAGCTACAACATACCAATCATCCAGGACAATTGTGGGTCTGTACCAACAGATGTACAGACAATTGACAATTTCTCACCCTCTACAACACCGGTATTCGAAGGCACTCGTACAACAACGCGAGCTACAGAGAGAAAAAGAATAAAACATTTCATTGAAGAAATGCAGTTTATTGACATTTTTAATGCCAACCGCATATAAAAACTGTCGGTACGTCAGCTCCATTAACATTCATACATTGGGACAAAAAAGCACCCGGAAATTGTAGTTAAATTCCTTGGGCAAATTTTATTTAAAAAAAATTTATTTTGCTAAGTTCGCAGCACTAAATATTGTGTGTACGGAACTTTGCGAATATTGGAAAAGACTTACGGTGCTTCAAAAACACAAGCCTACGAGTGATACAAAACCTTCAAAGGCGGTCGAGAAATTGTTGAAGACATGCCTCGTTTTGAACGATTTTCGTATCTTCAACTGATGAAAAAATTTAATGATATGGTGCTTGAAAATCGTCAGGCAAGTCTTTTTGGTGAATATTTTGGATATGAAACGCGTTCTTGCTCGACTCGTCTCGATAAAGCAGAGTTTTTTTCGATAAGATTACGATTATGACCGATTTTAAAGCCAAGCACGCAATGAATACCAACGATCAAGCACCGTATTCACCAGATTTCAGTCGATCGAAGAGATAAAATAAAATTCACCCAATTGAGCTGAAAGCCATAAAAAAAGTGCTTATGAAAAGTGTTTCGAGGACTGTCAAAATCGTTGGCATAAGTATATAACATCTGGCGTTTTATTTACAATTTCCGGGTCGTTTTTTGTTACAATGTATATAGGATTATACTTACCAACTACATTAATTTCTTTCTTCTGATCATCGGCTACACAACTGTAGAGACCATCATCGGCAACATCTGTGCGGTCAATAATGAACTTTCTTTCGGCCGCAATAATTCTGTAACGACCGGCAAGCTCTTTGACTTTCGCAACATCTGTACCGTTCTTTTCCCTAGGAAGAAAATAAACATGAAACGATGTTAGCAGAAATCGAACGCTAGTATTTACAAAAAAACTTATCTACTGTCTGGCATAAATGCTACATTAAGAAAGTAGTATATGTATATATATACACGGTGTTTTTATATGTACGTATTTATATATATATATATATATATATGTACATATGCATAAACACTTGGACAAAATAAATTGCTGTTACAAGTCTTAAGGCAGTCGAGTAAACTGTATGCGATATTTCAGAAAACTTCAGAAAAAAAGAATTTATTTTAAAAAAAATTCATCATATTCAAAACGATTTTTCTTTTTCATATATAAAATAGAGCAAAAGATATAAATTTTTTGTTCACATCGAAAGCTGTGGTAAAAAATTTTCACAAAATTCTTTTGCATTGGCTAAAATATTGTTAAAACCGATTAACACAAAAACAAACAAACGACGGTGGTAATTTCGGGATTTCGAATCGAATGTGCTATGGCCAATCAAAATGGGCAATTAATTTTGCAGGCGTTGCAAACGCTAGAAGAGCCCGCAACAGTAATGAAAATCGTAACACATATCGCCGACACAGCTGGCGTAAGTAGACTCATAACTGATTTTATTTATTCTGTGCTGATGAGTTAAAATTGCAGGTTCATCCTAATGATGTTAAAGAATCGGTGCAGGAGACGTTAAATGGCGGCGTACGTTACGGCTACATACAACGCGCCAATCGTAAATATTATGCGGCACCTGTTGACTTGGACACTATTGCTGGAGGGGAGGGCAGTGATCCGGAAGTGGAAACTAACAAGGATGATACAAAGCAAACTGGCGAAATGGAAGATCGTGGCGGTAGGCGGCGCAGAAGACGTGCAAGTCGTAGTCGCAGTCGGAGCCGACGTGGCTCCCGACGTCGCCGTCGTCGTTAAGCCATTTTTGACAAAGAAAAAAAGGTAAAACAAAGCCCAATCAATGAAATATTTGAAATTATGTATTTTGATGTGCCTCGCCTCTCTATGTAAGATTGTCTATGGTGTTTCTATGTCTACGTATATTTTGAAAAAATTATAATAATGTTAAAAAATAACTATACATATTTTTCCGATAAAACTCGAATAAATATAGATAAAAATAAAGGTTTTCTGATTGCTACTATAGTTTTGAGTATAGGTTAGGTGAGGTTAGTCTGGTGGGTTCCTGAGCCACGCACAGAACAGTTTTTGGCTTTTTGACGATGTGTAAGATATAACTTCTTAACAAAGTAGAATCATATTGTAGGTTATGCAGAAGTTCAATTTTGTATTGAGTTTTCGTTTTTTATGACTCACTACCACACAAATTTTTGGATGGTGAAATTTCAATTTTCAACAAGTAAGAAAGGGCCAAGTTCGGGTGTCAACGAACATTTTATACTCTCGCATGATAAAGTGATAATCGAGATTTCAGGCGTGGTTGTGAACCGATTTCACCCATATTTGGTACATGTCATCAGGGTGTTAAGAAAATATTATATACCGAATTTCATTGAAATCGGTTGAGTACTTCCTGAGATACGGTTTTCGGTCCATAAGTGGGCGACGCCACGCCCACTTTCAATTTTTAAAAAAAGCCTGGATGCAGCTTCTTCTGACATTTCTTCCGTAAAATTTAGTATTTCTGACGTTTTTTGTTAGTCGGTTAACGCACTTTTAGTGATTTTCAACATAACCTTTGTATGGGAGGTGGGCGTGGTTATTATCCGATTTCTTCCATTTTTGAACTGTATATGGAAATGCCTAAAAGAAACGACTCTGTACAGTTTGGTTGACATAGCTATAGTAGTTTTCGAGATATGTACAAAAAAGTTAGTAGGGGGCGGGGCCACGCCCACTTTTCCAAACAAATTACGTCCAAATATGACCCTCCCTAATGCGATCCTTTGTGCCAAATTTCATTTTAATATCTTTATTTGTGGCTTAGTTATGACACTTTATAGGTTTTCGGTTTACGTGTACCAAGTTTCATCATGATATCTCAACTTTTACTCAAGTTACAACTTGCACGGACGGACGGACAGACAGACATCCGGATTTCAACTCTACTCGTCACCCTGATCACATTGGTATATATAACCCTATATCCGACTCTTTTAGTTTTAGGACTTACAAACAACCGTTATGTGAACAAAACTATAATACTCTCTTTAGCAACTTTGTTGCGAGATTTTAAAAATGGTTAAATTTCACGTTTTGTAGTACTAGCTTTTAGCTTTAACTAGATATTTGAAACTCATATTTCCAGATTAAATGTGATCTCAAATTTTATAAACATAGCCCCGACACACTCTTGACTTAAATCTGGTATTTAACTCTTCTATGGATATACTGATCAAAACAAATATTTTAGAACTTGCTTTTGAACATAAATATAGTAAGTTTTATAAACTCTTCACATGGTTAGAGGGTGAATTTAACATAAGTAATGTTGGAGGAATGCGAAAACGATATTAATAATGTATTCAAGATCGTCACGCACACACGATGCGAACGTAAATAAACAGCTGTCAAACACACAGTAAATGATATATGGAGATGAAACTTCGCATAAAAAAACGTAGTTGTTGTGCGCGTAGTTTAAACAAGCCAGTCGGGGTCAATTTTGATCGTTTTTGGTATATTGTTTGCCACTTCGCCGATGAAAATGAGTTGCCAAGAAAGTTGACGCATTTTTATACCTTGAACAGGCTATTTTTATAATTTAGGTACCCGTTACAACCGCAATAAGTATGTATACAATATATATGTATATAAATAATCAGCGTTACAAGTTGAGTCGTTTTATCCATGTCCGTCTGTTTCTCTGTATATACACCAACTAGTCCCTCAGTTTTTGAGACATCGTTCTGAAACTTTGTTCACGTACTTTATCATCAAGAAACTGCTTACGACGAATTACTATAGCATTTAGCTGCCACTGAGCGACTAATTTGACGAGATATCGTCTTGAAATTTGGCACATATTAATACTGCAGGCAGCGCTATAATCTCCGAAGAAATTGTTCAGATCGGAGAACTATAACCTTGCATGAATAACTTTTTAATTTGGTAAGGTATCGCCAAGAAATTTGGCATAAATTATTATCTCAGACACCAATACAATCTAAGAATAAATTATTCCGATCGGACCTTAAAGCATACAGCTGCTATTTGAATTCAGCCATCAAAATCAAGAAAAGATCTCTTCATAATCTTTTTTTCTAAAGAAAGGCACCTATGACGGGCATTATAGCTTAACGTGTTTTCTTGTTATCGTATATTTTTTAAGGGTTTACGGGTAAAAAAAACGAATTTTTTATTGTCTTATTAAATTCTACAACTCTAGAATATTGTCCTAAGTTTCAAGTTATATATTAGTATAAGAGTAATAGTTTCGGAGATACAGCCTTGAGAACTTGGGCGCCAGAGGCTAGCTAGGCTAAGTGTGCATTTTTGCGTTTTTGAAGTCGGCGGGGAAGATTTCTCGAGAACTACTCAACCGATCTTCATGAAGTTGTACACAGATAATTGAGATACAATTCTTAAAGACTTGGATGAAGGATTTTTTTCGATTTCAACTATTTGGAAAAAAATGTCTGCCAAAAATCTAATTTCCAGTTTTTTATCCTTTCTCCTGTTTTAACAAAAACACTTATTTTTTCGCTTCAAAGGATCCTGTAAGAAGTTATCTTGCCAACGCGGTTGCAACTTTTTTCCGAGGGATCGCCGGAAATGGCATCGCATAAATATTTAAATGTTTGAGTTTAAAATATCTTTTCCGAAAATATTTTATTTTTTATATTAGAAAAAAAGTTGTTGAAACCGGCTCTTACGCCATTCACTTGGGAGTGGCTAGAAACGATTCTCTTGCATATGGCTCAAGCAGCTCACGACTTGCATCCCTAGACCAAGTATCTTCTGGGTAGCCTAAGAACATCCATTTGAAGGCGAGCTAAGGTGAGAAGGCGAAACATCCCCTCCACATGGTTGTGCGCTGGGTTTGAGACCCGCCACGTAAAAACGTCCCCAATGAAAAAGTTTAAACTGCCTCGGTTGAGAGACCTTCTTTTGATGACGACCACGGCAAACGAATTAAGGATTACGATTTGAGGGCATACAAACAGCAAACAACATGTTTAAGCTTTCTACTTACCATTTCAGCACATAATCACCAGCTTTGGTTATATTACAGCTAAGTACTAGAGGTGATCTGATTTCATATACTTTTAACTGATGTTCTGCATTATCGTAGTTTGGCACCAAAAAGTCAGTATCTGTAAAAGAATTGTTCGAATATGAAAATATTGATAAATTTAACTACATGTATGTATGTATATGTGTATGTATATATATACAAAAAATTATAAATTATGGGTTTCCATTAAATATCCATAAATATGTTATAAACTCATTGATGGTTAATGAATTTAATGTTGTGCTAAAATTTTTATTTTCACTTAGAGAATGTAATGATTTATAAATAAACAAAACAATTATAATAATAAATTAAAATTATCTTTATACATAAGTAGTTTGCTTAGAAAACAAAATTAATTACCATACATAAGTATAAGTAAACGGTTGAAGGATAAAATAAAATCGCACTAGCAAATATATAAAATGGTACAAGGTATTTTAACAAATATTCTATCTTACACATAATAGTATTGGAAGAACATAATAAAAGCGAAATAACGCTACATTTACTATACATTCATACATATGACGAGAAGGGTATGATATGATACTATAGAAGTGTGTGTGAAAGTACATAGTTCATATGAAAGTATTGTTTTATCACATGAATAAATGTGTAATAATAAAGAAGTGTGTTCTGTAAGCGAATAGCGCCAACTACTACACAAATAATTTAATTATGACAAAATAAAAAGAAGAAAGTACATAAAAAAATACGACAAAATTAAAGCATTTTTTGGCGATGACTCCGAATTTTACACTTGGCCTATGAATCTGTGCTGCACTATATACTACGTATAAATGTACATATGTAGATTTTTGCATATATTTATGTATGTAAATATGTATGTATTTTTGTATAAATATTGACATTTTTGGTACTATTCGCACTACCTACATACATACATACATATACAACTTGAGTAAGCATTGTGCTTGCAATTGCTGTTGTTGTATGTCGCCATTATGTCATAGTGGTGATGGTGATGATATCACTTTCGAGTTTATTGAATAAGTTGTGTATAAATGGGTACTAATAAATACGTATGTATGTATATAAAATTATGTACAAAGTATATGTGTAAGTATGTATATAGTTGCATATAACGGCATGACGTCAAAATTTTAAATACTCTTAACTTCGGAAATTCGTTTTTATGTTTATTTGTCAACATTTTGCTTTTGTTTTTGGGCAGTAGGTATTTCTTTACTTTGTGGCGTCAGTAATGAAATTAGGGTATAAACTTTCATTTTGTTTAGTTTTGGCTAATCAAAGTTGTGCATTAGTATGCGATTAATCAAGCAATTGATGGCACCAGCTAATAATTTTGTAAATAGTTGCCACTCGGTGGTTGTGGTAATGGTGAAACTTTGCCTATTAGTTCTGAAGCACATTTCGTTTAATTTTTATTTGAACGGTAAATTAGTGCTAATCTGCAAAGAAAATATAATATTGCTCTAGAGTTGATATATTGGGTTTGTAACTTATTCTAATATCAATATGTTTGGGGCTAGCTGAGTCTTTGTGAATTAGGAGAAGGCAGAATAGACCTAAGGTCGCGGTGCATTTCTCGTCTAGCAATCAATATTGTAATGATATCAACTAAGGATGCATGGCGCCGAAAATGTTGGCATTTTGCTTAACGAAAGTACTATTACAGTGAAATTTTTAGTTAACAGGCGCGCTATTAAGCGGACAGCACCGTTAACCGTGTACAATAGCGGTTAGCATGTATTAAGGACAATCTCTATTAACCAGACAAAAGGGCTGGTCTCGCGAGTGTCCACTTATGAGAGATTTCACTGTAGTACGACTCGGTTGAATAAAAATTGATGATTGTTGATCATGTTGATATAATTTTAAATACAATTTTTTAATTGTTTATAAATGTTGGAACTGGACATTTGTTGTTGTCAATAACAAAACTTTTTCATTTATGCGAAGAACAAAAAAGTTGTTTTCAAATTTAATAACTCGGATCTAGTAAAAATATATATAAATGTACGTAAGTATTTCAGCGTGGAGAATTTTTTATTGGTTAAGTTGGGTTCATTAATCAAAAGAGTGTTGACTATTTTTAAGTATTTAAAGTAGACAACAATATTTCACGCTTGATCTGTAATGCTTCGAATACCTTTGGGCTAAGGTAACTAGATTATAAAATTCAATACAAATTCAGGTATTTCAGGAAATTTGGTATAGAGATCATTTAAATGTTTATAAACAAATAAAATTATTAATAATTTTTTTTTAGTATATTTTTTCATATTTTCTACAATTGTTTGTTTTAAGCAAAGCAAATGTTTATACGAACAATTACAAAGCTATTATACGTTATTTTGAGAGTTAATAACAAACTGCGATATATGATCGTAATGCTGTTTACCTAAATATTTAAATATTGCTAAGTTTTCATAACAATCGAGTGATAATCAGAAAGAGTAAGTTTGCGTTATAATTAAATAAAAATAGAAGCGCAAGCAATATAGCGAAGGAAAAAGAAAAATGAACGGTTTATAAAGCATATAAAAAAACAACCACATTAAAAATCTCGAAATTTAAATATATATAAAAGTTGAAAGAATAAAACGAAAGTGTTAAAGATGAAAACCAATTTCAAATACGTATCCATAGTCACTGAACGATGGGCGAAGAGATGGCACTGTTTGGTAGTGGTTGGTGGTGGTGGTGGGGGTTGTGATGACGTTTGTGAAAGCAAGTGAAGGCTGAGACTGAAATGCGTTGATGCGTTCATTTAACTGAGTTAAACTTGTTTTTACATACTTATATATTTTTGTTTTTTATTTTATTTATTTTTTTATTTTTGTTCTTTAGCGATAAAAGCTAAATGGTTAAGGCTCACCCTTACGGATTGGCACTTGTGCCATGCGAGTGGGTTGTGGCGACAAGGCTGTGGGGAGCGACATGCCGCCGCCGCCCGCCGTAACCGCGGTCACACCAGATATAGGGTGTCGTTGCTGCTGCTGCTGCTGATTTATAAACTGATGCGGTGGATAGGTTTGCAGTTGATTGCGCTGCTGCTGATGTTGCTGTTGCTGCTGGTAAACATCCATTGGTGTCAACGTTTGCACACCACTACTGCCAATTTGTTGTGGCGTGAACATTTGTGTCGGTTGCTGATAATTTGGCGCAGCTGTTTGCAGAGGAAATGTGGATTGTGTTTCGACGAGTTGATAGCCGTGTGTTGTCAAAGGATTGTTATACATGTTATTGCTATTGCTATTGCTGGCAGTGATACTGTGACCGTGATGCTCCAAATGATGATGTGGAGGTGTGAAAAATTGCGCGACTGGCGCTACTGTTGTGGACAGCATTGTTGTGCGTGGTGGTGGGAAATTCGGCATCGGTGGATATTTGACGCTAGCACCGACACTGCCACCACCACCACTACCACCGTAACCGCGACTAGGCGTTGTTGTTATTTCGCCGTATTTTTTTGGCGGCGTTATATACTCCAGATTGATAAGGCCTGTGTCCAGTTCACTGCCAATGCTGGCGCCTTCGCTGCTGCTATCCGGCAGCGTTAAGGATGGATTACCATCGAAGTTTGTGGCGTTTATATAAATCAATTTGTGTTGCTCATCCAGTTTCGTTGTTTTAGGTTGGGGCCTTTGTTGTTGCTGCTGCTGCTGCTGCTGCTGCTGTTGTTGTTGATGATGGTGATGATGTTGTCGCCGGTGTGTTGTTGTTGTGGTAGTTTGTGTTGGCAGTGGCATAGCCGGCGAAACGTCCACCTCCATGTGCGGCTCCCATATGCGTGTGAAAATATCATCTGCCGAACTGGGTGTTAGATCGTGTATCGTTTCGTATGCCGAGAGCGTTGAAAGATGGCCACCACCGTCACCGTCACCGCCGCCGACGCCACCCGCTGTTACCACAAATGGTGTATATGTTTGTGGGTGTGTTGGCACCTCATTGGCGCTGCGTACGTGCAACATATGGTAGCTTGTGTGCAAATTGTTGCACTTATACTGACCCTCGTGCACCTTAAGCGCGTGACGCACGGAAAGATGCGCCTCGATTTTGTGTTTCTCACCTTGAGAGTGGAAAGTTGGGAGTTTTAGATAAAGATTTAAATTTGCTGTTGATATTGCTTTCTACAATTTTGTTTTCTATTTTTTTAATTTCTGCTAACTCAATGGCACAAATTCTTTTTAAAAACTATGCCTAACTATCAGATCAGAATACAACTAAATCAAAAAGTAGTAGGGGGTGGTAGTGGGTTGTTTGGTGAAATAAAACGAAAATTTATTCATTAACATGTATAAAACCCAATTAGAAACTACGCTGGTATATTTTCATTCGCTAAGAAAATAAATGGAAATGTGTGCCAGGTGAATCAAAAAGTAACTGTTCGGAAAGAATTAAAATCGAGGTTTATGTATACTTAAGTTCTTAAAAAATGGAGGTGCATATATTTTTCAATGATTCACAGAAGAAATTTCTGTGCGAATTAATGAACGATACGAATCCGAAAATAAAGACCGCCGAGGAATTGCAGAGATTTGCACGAAATAACTGTCGAAACTCATTATAGATTTTCAATTGAGAGTTTGTATAAAAACAGTTTGAAAATCTTATACATATGTATGATGACAGAAATAATTTCAATGAGAACACTATGGTCATGGGTAAAATTTAAAAGTTTATTGTTTTCTTATTAATTTATATGTTTTATGGCAGTACTATTTAAGCAAGCAAAAGATTAGAAAAATCAACACAGAGTTGCTAATGATCAATTATTAAAGTTATGCATTTACCCTTAAGCAGTTAAATACTAAAATGTCTCAGTAGAAAAATATAGCAAAATGTATAAATACAAGAAAACCGCGAAATAATTTATTATAACTGCTTATAAAAGGCGATTTTTGGCATTTCCAAGGAATTGTTTCTTACCTGGGAGTATTCGCTAGTTTTTGATTCACCTTTAGGACATTGAAACCACACACTAAAGTACAGACATAACGACACTGCTCAGAGCACTTTAGTAACTTTATGTCACTAACTACTTTGCTAGATCTAAGAAAAAAAAAAATAAATAAACTCTATTGACCGAATAACGTTAATGCAAAAACGAAAACCGAAATTATTTAGATTTCTTCACGCATGGCGCTTCACGGTCTACAACATCTAATTTGACTAGTAATTTGTATGCGAAAAAATATGCCTGCTGATTGCTAAAACACCCACAGCTTGGTTATACTCACCCTCAATGGCACTTTCCGACAGCGTGTAGGAGTGCTCATCGCGTCCGTGGCGTAGATTGTGTCGCGTTATTGGCTCGCCATCTTTTAGCCAAAATATGGGTTCGGCCAAGGGGACTATGCATGTGATTGAGAATGGCTCGCCAATATTCACATTTGAATCGCCATAATAAATCGCTGTCTCATAGTCAAAATCTGCCAAATCTGTGTTGACATTTCGAACGCACATAGGCACACACGCATGCATGCATACATGTCATGTGTGCATGTGCACATTTACATAAATTGTTGTTGCATTAGATGATGTAGTAGTTGTTGTTGTTTTGATATTACATTGCATGCCATGTGATATAAAGGCGAAAAATATTGCGTGTTTCACCATTAGAAAATTCCCATTTAGTACATCATTTCGTTTTGTTTTGTTTTCGTATCGTTTCATAATCCACAACAAATGTTTGCATGAACGATTCGCATTTAACACAGATTTTTCAGTACATACATACTTGTAATTCAATTCAATTTAATTTGTTGGGCTAATTATACATTTTGCAGAAGGTTGAAATTGGAGGAAATAATTATAAAAACAAAAATGAAAATGAACGAACATAAAACTTCTAGAGTAAAATAAAATAGGAGTAAAGAACAACAACAGAAAACAAAAAGATACACACGCTACACTTACTCGGCAGATAAATAAGGAAAATATTAATGAAGAGATAATTAAATTAGTTTATGTATTTTAAAACAAATTGTAAATATATGCAGATAGGTACATACATATATGTACGTATGAATGCAGGTATTGTGTGGAGAGCGTGTTGTAAGTAAACATATCGTGTCTGAATGTAAGTATGTATGCAAGTGATGGAAAGTTAAAAATGTCAATATTAATGTATTTTCAATGTGCCTTGTGTATGTGTGTATGTATGTAAGTGGCCTTAAATATTTATACTTTTATTAAACGCTGCTTGCTAATTTTGCTATACTAATATAAACCAATTTGTATAGTGCATATTTATATTGTATTATACTTGTTAATGAATTATGATATAGCAGGATTTATCTTTTGTCAAATTTATTTTATTTCAGCAACAAGTTGAATGTAGCAGTGAATGTGTTTATGAATAACAAATCGTAACAAATATATTTGTATGTATATATGTCGATGTAAATGACGTAGATGTTACCGAGCAATTTGCACAAACAAATAGTTGCGCTGTAAAAAATTAGATTCACAGATATTTTCAATAATAAAACAAAAACAAAAAATCGTCTACGTAACGTAACGATTGTGTTAAAAATAACGTATTAATATACTACACGAACGGCGTTGAGGTGAAGTGAGGTAGCAATGTGGAACACAAAAATTTGTGTTTATATGTACATACATATACATTTATAACATAAACGGAATTATGATAATTATATAAATACTACATACACTTGTGAAAAAAATAATAGAAACAACATACAAGTACATTTCTGTATATAAAATCAATTTGCTAATTATTTAGGAAAATAATATACACAAATGAAATATATATCACTAACTCCTTTTTAGTCGATTTTGCATTTTTTTTTTTAAACAAAATTTGAGATCTTATGATTGCAGGAAAAAAATTAAACCTGCCAGAATTCCAAAAGTTCGATGAGCTTTTGTTTCGTACATCTTATGTTAAAAAAATAAAAAAAATTTAAATAAATATCACTTCGGATATTAAAAAAAATATTTGAAGACAACCTGGTTTTATTATTTTTTCCAACAGTGTATGTATGTTGAGATATTAAACCAATTGCTTATATGTATGCTTTTATTGAAATAATAATGTGAACATGCTTTATACTAAGAATATGGCATAAATGTAATGATTTTTCAAAAATGTATTTAAATAAACATAATAAACAAGAAATTAACGCAATTTCATAGCGAGCTACCTGGCATTTAATTTAACTCGTTGCAAAAATGCTGTAAGTTTATATATGAGGTGGCACTTGCGCTTTAGTACTACTCTCTGATAGAGTAGGTGTCTCCCACCTAGAAGAGTGGTCTGTTTATGTGGTTACATTTAAAACAAATTCGAAAATCAGTCGCTGGCAATATTTCGATATAAAACAGATTCATTATGCACTGGAAGCGCATATTGCTTGAACGGACACTGCCTTCAAATATCATCATTAACTTGTTAAAAAAAATGGTCACATATGTGTACATATTTATGCACATATATTAAGGCAAAAGCTTGTACAAATTTTATGTACCATAATGACAAGTTGGGCGCCCAAATTTCTATTGAGTTTAAAATTTTATTATTGTTTATGCTTTAAATCAATTCTCTACGACTACTAATTAGTTTTCTGACAAGGGCGTGAAGGCGTATACTTGACTGTGCGAGCAAATCGCTGAAATGTTCACACACACTTGAGAAGGTCGGTGACACTGTATACTTGTCATATACATATATATTCATAATGAGTGTTGATATGTATGTATAGGAGCCCGCTTTTCGCATGATACCAAATAATCTAAATCATAATTTTATAAATTAAGAGTATGCGCCTATAGCTGACTCGAGATAAAAAAATAATATGAGTGGTGATAGGATAGGCACATGAACCATACATACATATGTATGTACTTATACATATACTAGTGGTTTTAATTTTGAATATATTCATACAAATAAATTATATTGGAAAAAATAACGAATTTAAGGCTGCTTTCTCAATGTCTGTTTACCAGTCTTTCTGTCCAGTTAATAGAGTTGTCCGCTTAACTTACAGCTTTCACTTTTTATTTATGAATGTTTTCCACCATCCTATCTTCTAAGTTGGCTCGAACTGGATTAAATTTTACTAAAATCGGTTCAGTAGTTTAGGAGTCCATGACGGACAAACAACCTGACACCTGATTTTTATATATAAAGATGTACCTTAAACGTACATGGAAATATTTTTTTACAAGAAGGACTAAAGTGAGCTTAGAATTATTTTAGTTTATAAAAAATGAGCTGCTTATTATAAAAGCTGAAGACAGAAGAGATGAACATATTTTCTGTTTTTATTATGCTGAAGTTATTTCTTGAAGTCTTACACATTAAAAAATGCTAACGGAAGTTTGTTTATACTAAAAAGTTTTATAGCCTGAACAGGGCATATTAAGTTTGTAATACCCAGAAAAAGGGACGGAAATCCTTTAAATATATATACTTATGTATAATATGAATGATGAGCAGGACGAACTGAGTCGATTTAGACATATACGATTTTTCTGTATATACGCGAACAAGGCACAATTTTTGATGATGGTTAATTGTTGCCACCGCTGATGTCTGACTGCTATAGCATATAGCTGTCATACAAACTGAACAATAAAAATCAAGTTCATGTAAGGAAATTTTTTTTATTTAATAGCTTTAATATCTTCACGAAATTTGACAAGGATTATTGCCTAGAACAATGCTGCAATACCCGAGGAAATTTTTCAGATCGGATCATAAAAACATATAGCTGTCATACAAATCGAGCGACCGAAGCTAACATTATTCTTTTATATTTATTTTTAAATACAAATTCTGATGTCGTACAACACATAAAAGTCTGCAATTATTTGCCTTATTTAAACTTAGCCGAAAGCAAAGAACAGATGTTTAACGCAATAAAAGCTTTTATTTTAACTGTATTTTAAATACTAATAATTTCGGCTATGTAGAAGTAATACTTGTGGGTGCGGATGAGAGGCCCATATTAATTTAAATTCAATCTACATATATTTATTTTGGTGAGTTAAAAATGTGCCATAAATTTTGAGTAAGATTAATATGTGACAAAAATATTTAACACCGGCAACATGATCAAAGCAAATAAAAATAAAAGCAAAGAATCGGAATTTCGTAGCACCAGGCGTTCACGCAAATGGTTAGCAACAAGATTTGTAGCATACAAAGGCACACCGATATTCCTTTTGGAAAAAAACTGCTAAATTAATTACTCCTAATTTTTTTAGATAGTGCATAAATAGTTTTGCTTTGTCTATTTTATATTTCTATGGCCTCATAAACCATAAATGAGCGAAATATAACCTTTAATGTGTGGTACTATTGTTTTATGGCGTATTACTTATCAAGAATGCAAATATTTGAAGGGACAGAAAGCTTCCACTAATAGTCGTTAGATCATAAAAACTCTGTTTATGACGATAATTTTGTATTACAGAGTGAAAGTAGAGGTTTTCAGTTCCACTACTGGAAACTTTCAAGAAAAAAAAAACAAGTAATCCCTTAACCGTTCTAATGAAATCAAATATGTATATGTGAATTAACTCAAGCAAAACAAAGAAATATGAAAGATTTTGATGGAAATTAAAAGTTTGTGCTCAGGATGTAGGTATTGTTGGATAAGCTTACACACCAAATCTTGTTGAAATCAGTCATGTAATTCCTGAGATATAGGATTTTACATAAAGCTGGCAGAGTCTTGCCAATTATCCAATTTTTATATCGGCTCCTGTAAGGCCCTTATTCAGTTTTCAACGTTTTAGTTTTTCTGATCTTATATATATATACATATGTACATATATACATATATGGATTTATAACCGGTTACAAGAGTACTTCTTAAACTTCTTTACAACCTTTAGGTAATATTTCCTTTCTCAAAGCTCAAATTTCCGACAAGAATGAAAATTTTAAAAAAGTGGTCGTGAACCCGCCTGAATACGCCTAACGCAAATATTGACAGTGTGAAAATGGATGAAATCGCATGATAACCCTGGTCACTCCCTATGTAAAGGTACAGTTGAAATCTTCTAAAGAGCGATAAATCAATAAGTAAATACGCCAGATACATGAAATTCGACCCCCGAGAAGGTATTAACCACCTTAAGGTGAACTTACATATCTCGAGACCCGCTAGACCGAATTTGGTACGTGACTTCTTATGCCATTTTCATGCCACAGTGTGAAAATGGGCGAAATCGGACTACCGCCACGCCTACTTTCCATATAACACAATTTAAAATTCCGTTTAAAACTTCCACTTTCTAGTATATGTACTCGTACAATGAATTACTATATCAGAATAAAACTTTGCACGAATAGTGCAAATAATAGTGTGAGATATATAATTGAAATTCAGAGAAAATCCTTTTCTGATAGTAGTATGTCTGTGTGTCGAAAATGGGTTGAATCGGATCAATACTTCTCTTTTTACCTAATATAAAGATTTTCGAACTTCCGATATTTTAAT